GGTGCAAGCTTGGGGGTGAAGGACACAGGTGGGTCTCTAGAAGGTGCTGTGCAATTGGCTCTGTGGGACCACAGAGCTGCCTGTGGAACTGCGGGAGGAAGCGCCACAGGTGCACACACTGGCATTCACAGGCCCGCAGGAAAGATGAACCTTCTGGAGGGATGGAATATGGCCTTAGAGGACACAGCCCCTGGCAATGCTCCTAGTAGACATTTGGAATAGAGGGACAGTGTTCTCCAGGCTAGCTAGGGACTGACTCCAGGGCTAGTCAGAGATAGCGAAGGGTCTCCCTGTTGGCCCGCAGCGGGCTGGCCAGGGTGCTTAGCATTCTCAGCGCTGCTCTAAGATCAGTCCCTCAGGGCCGGGCTCAGCCTCGTGAGTGGCTCAAGGCCTCCTGAACACACAGCCTCAGTGCACGTGTACCATCCTGAGTGTAAGAGCGAAGAGGCAAGAACATGTACCTCTATTTCCCACTGAGGTATTTCTCTTTAGTTGCACTTATTTGCCCTAGCCTTTTTGTCCAGAACTCTTGGAATAGCTCCCTTCTCATTTCCCACCTCATGAACTCAGTGTGCGTTTTGGAGGCAGTGGAGTGTCTGGCAGCTCTCCTGCCATCCCCACTCTCCCAACCGTTGGATTTTTCAGCCAGTGTTCCTGTCCACACCACACAGGCAGCTCCATAAGGCACCTTTCCTCCCAGCTTGCTGACAATTCCGCAAGGCCCAGCATCTCTGCTTGAGGCAGCTCTATAGCCCCTCTCTGAGGCTGACCCTCTGGTATTGGCACCCTCAAGAAGACTGCTGTCAGGGCGGAAGTGGTGCTGCTCACCAGGGCGATCGAGAAGACCGAAGGGATGAGGCAGGCGATGCATTCACCGTGCAAGTAAGCGTCAATACATGCCCGCCTTCGCGATCATTCTTTCCATTTATTTTAAAGCATTTCTGTTGCAGGCCACTTGGACATCCACAAAGCAGAGGAGTACCACGCGCCCTCGTGCATTGCCTCGGCGATGGCCAACTCACAGGCAACCTTGTTTCACCCATCCCGTCACCTCTCCCTTCTCCCCACACGTCTCCTTCAACAACTGAATTTTTCTGAAGATAAACTTAGAGAATCTATTTTAGTTTTTGAAACTTTATTTATTTTTGAATAGGCAATAGTGACATGACTCCAATTCAGGAAGCACAAAGGGCTAAAAAGAGAAGAGTAACTCCTCCTCCTGCCCCTACCCTACCTGGTGGAAGATTAAACCGATGGATATTTTGTAGCTCCTCCCATCAAGAAATGGAGCCTTTCTCTCTGCCTTGAACTTGGGCTTGGCTATATGAACTGATTTGGCCAAAGATACTTTAGCAAACGTCATGTAAGTACTGTTTGCTAAGTAAGCAGCATTTGTGGCCTGGGCTTGTTCTGGGAATGCAGAGGCCGCCATATGACGAAGGCAGAACTAGCCTCCCGGAGGACATGTGGACTCCACATGGACAGAGGCCCCAGCCATCCCAGCCACCCCACAGAAAAGCCAGGTAAATGGTGGTTGTTTGAAGCAGCTAACTGTGGGCTGCTTTGTACACTCCCAACTCCCACACCCACCTGGGCACACTCTT